TTTTGAGATTATATAGTTATATTTAAAATTGTTTCAACGATTTGTTGAAAGTACTTTTTTTTTTTTTTAGATAACCGTGGATATTCGGATCAGTTTGCGCGCACCTCGACTAATTCCACTGGACCCTGCAGTTTACGGTCGGGTACTCACCCCATTGACCCTGAAGGGACTCGAACTGGTGACCATTAGGAAATAAACTCAAGGTCTGACCAATTGAACAAACCCTCAAGGTTCATTTGTTGAGAGTACTTCATTCGATAAAAAGAGCTTTTAAAAAAAGTACTTCATTCGATTATAGAACTCTTGTATCAAAAGTAGAAGATTAAGCTGAAACCAACTTACCTTGTCCATCAGATCTTCAACTTTTTGAGCATCCTTCGCTGATTCTTCAGCCAGATCTTCAACTAAATTAACAACATTTTTTAGGCCACCTTCAGGGAGTGCCTCCGCTATATTTTCCGCTGCTTTATCAACTTCCTCCGCCACCTTCCCTACGGAGTCGGCTATTTTCTCCACCGTCTCGGCCGCCAGATCCACCTCTCCTGTACACGAGTACAGAAATTATAAATCGGCAACAAAATATTAAACTCATTAACATTGAAAATGTTGTTCGTTGATCCTTACTTGTCAACGTTAATAACCGTTGGGCAAAAAAGGGAAGTGTTACCATAACTCCAGCAACCCCGGCGGCGATCCTATCACAACATTTGTAAGATCAATAAATACAAAACTTAATAAATATAGTAAAAAGTTAGGATAATTAGGTTATATTATTTACCACAGATTATCGGAGGGCCAAAAGGAAAGAAGATTTCCTATTTCTGGATCTGGTGTGGCTTCAACAACCAAGTCCCTTCTGCAAAAAATACAAGTCACAACTTGCAATCAAATCAAACTATACAACACCAGAAGTAACAAAGTTAAAACGCAAGCGTACTTCTTCGATCCGTTGTTTCTTCGTAAGGTTTGAGTATATTTCGAACTTGGATCTCCCAGAAACGAACCTCCATTTTGCTGATTTGGTGTTGTTGGATTGTAATGTAACCGATCGGAGCCCAAAGGCTGAAAACTTTTAGAGAAATTGGGATAAAGTAGGCCTGATGACCTGCAAGAAGTGGCCATTAATGGATCATTGATTGTAGTGGAGAAGATCAATAATGGAGTTGAGTAGGTCTTTAATAGGGACTGAGGGTGCTTGGAAATTTTGAGATTATATAGTTATATTTATAAGTGATTAAACTTAATTTAATTAAGATAAAATTATGAGTACTCCAATATGAAAAACGAATTCTATAATTAAAAGGCGACTACAAGAATTTAAATTGTGATTCATCTATCATTAACGCCACCTTCATATATATTATAATATTATTTCATATGTGTACATGTATATATATATTATATTATTTATTATTTATATCCTTTAGCCTCACTTAAAATCAATGTTGATAAAAATTAATTTTCCATCGACATTAAATGAGATTTCTTAATCCGTCTGAAAAATCAAACAAGCCTATATATATGAGACGGAGGGAGTATATTATAAGTACAATATATATATATAAATAAAATGTAGAGACAGATGAAAAACGTCCAATTTATCATTTTGTCTTTATATAACATTGTCAACATTTTCATTTAAAGATTATAAATTGCATGTTTAATTAATATAATAGATAATATAACTATTTAAACACAAAAGACAATAAATTGAAAAGAAAAAATTGCTTAAACGTGATCAACAATTAGGAAGAAAAGAGTTGAAGATGGGAAAAATTATCCATCAATCTTAAAAACTTACTAATTAGGAGTTACTTACTCTTCCCATATTTGTATCGACCCCATTAAATACAAGTTTAGCATCTCAATTACACATTTTTCACTAAAACCAAAATTTTAAGTATTAATAAAAATTAATATTATGTGTTCTAAAATATAATTAATATGATATTGGGTACTTTCTATTATTATTATTATTATTATTATTATTATTATTATTATTATTATTATATTCATTTCTGTATAAGCATAAAAATTGATGGTATTCCAATTACTAATTAAATATAATTACATAAAGAAAGAAAGAAAAAAATATTTTTATCTTGAGACATTTAAAGGGTAAATTTATATTCTTCCATTTGTATTAATCCCATTCACAAGAAAAAAAGAAAACTTTTGTCTTAAGATTTTTCGTTTCTATATGTGTTTTGAATGTAACTTTGGTTTTTAAGGGGTAGTATTAATAGATGGACTGATAGCATTATTATGAGTGTTAAGTGGGACGAGCTACTTGTCGATTCGCACGAGTTGGCTCGTGAGTTAGCTCACTCATGAGCTCGTCGGCTTGCATGTAATAAGATTCATTATAGGTGAATGAAAACACAGGATTTTTAAGTAAAAATAAATAAAATTGGAAAGCAGTGGTGGATTCAAGATTTTGATTCGGCACGTGCAGTCGTTGACCGTAGACAGTTGGCAGTAATAAAATATTAAGAGCCCCGTTTGTTGCCCATTTTTTGCAAAAAAAAAAATGTATTTTGGAATTGTGATTTGATGGAGAATAGGTGGTTAAAATAAGGGAAATTTTTGAATTTGCATGTAATATTATTTTATTGAAAATTGTGTAATCAAAAAGAAGAAAGAAAAATGTATTTTAAAAAAAGAGAAATCAAACAAGGATTAAAATTTAAATATAACAATTATTTTGTTCAAACTAAACATATATACTCTATTGTACAAATTAATAATATTCACCAAATGATATTGTGACCAAATTTTGTATAATTCAAACGAATAGTATGGATTCGAATTGTTATAACTGCATCAAAACCTCTAAAATGTAACATATATTATTCTGGTAAATTTAATATCAAATTCAACAAGTGTCATAATGGTCAAGCTTCAATAATCTGAAGGGGAGCTCACATGTTCGAATCCTTTCTCTATTCGTTTGATTTTAGTAAAAATTGTAAAACTAAAAATATTTCACACTAATTCGATTGGGAAGAGATTCAAAACCCGAGACTTCCTATATGAACATGGGAGTTATAACCAGTTGAGCTATAAGAAATGTTTGAAGATAAAATGATATATAACTTAAAAAGATTATTCATTGTCAACAGAAAAAACTATTCCTGGTGGATTCAGCACGCGTTGAATCTGCCACTGTTGGCAAGCCACTAGTGTGTTAGACTTGAGTTTGACTTAATATGGACTTATTATTTGTAGAGTAATGCTATTCATAATTAACGTTTGCAATAGTCATCATACATAACAACTCGTTATTTGAGACATTAGTTTCTTATAATTCAGTTGTCTCACATAACAAGCTAACACTTCAAATAACAAACTGCTACATAAAATGATTAATGTAGTCGTTGACTATGGATAGTAACCATACAAATCATGTTCCATACTTGATCAGGATTCCTCTTTTCTATGTTCTATCATTTTCATAGAAAGAATATGGGAATGGATATGAGATAATCAGCATTAAATTAAATATCTGTATTGATCCAAATTTCATTAACAAATGATCAAATAACATATCTATACATGTGATGGAATCAATATATTTTCCTTGAATCTCATTTTTTTTTATTTAGGGTTTATTTTTCACTATAATGAAGAATTGTAAATATATGTGACGGTTCGATTGATGCAAAGCTGATTTATCCTTATTCACTTTATGACAAAATTCGATTATTGAAATATTACTCAACCCCAAGTTGAACAAAATACATATAAAATGAGAAAATATTTAGTTTATGTGTATTGTTTTATTTCAATGACAATTGTTTATTACAAAAGATTCTTAGTTTTGTCATTTGAAAGAACTAATATCATCAATCAAGTAAATAAATATCAACATTTATAAAGTTCACATCTATCTAAAAAAATTGAGCAAAATTATAAGCTGCAAAATCAAGAAAAACAATATCAACATATCAAAATTTTAATTCAATCTAAAAATTAAACATTTTCATTATAGTGTCAAAAATTACACGCAAAACATTTTCAGACGAATTACTTTACGGTTCAATGCTTGTATGTATTCCTTTCAACAGGTAGCTATCCACATAAGTTCTCTCTCTCTCTCTCTGACGTGTTGCTAGCTTCCTTTATCTATTTTCATACCGCTTTTGGATCGGTAATTTCACTAATTTAGTCTAGACATCCCCCACATAATTTGAAAGGTCCAAATTCACAATTTTTTTTTTTTTGGCTAAAGTCAATCAATTTACCAAGTTCTAAACCTAAGAAATATCCTTTTCGTGTTTATGCTAATCAATTTACTTCACAGTTGTACATAGTTAAATAGAGAAGCTGGAATCAATATGAAAATGTCTCTTATGGCTAATAGATTGTCCTTTTAAGAGAAATTTCGTTGCCTCATCTTAAAATAAAATTTTTAAGAAGTTTAATAAATATCATAATAACATACAATGTATTTTGACTAGAACTAATAAGGTCGAAAGCAATAAAAAAAATTAAAAAATCTATCTGCATGAGATTTCAACGAACATTCTACAAATAACTTGTTTTGTAATTAAAATAAATTTGAAATTGAATTAAGAATTACATTATTACGGCTCAAACGGCCACATATAAACATCATTTATGCCAATCAATAGTGTAATACAGTAACATTACATTGAACAACCACGTAGTAAATTGTAGGGTCATAATAAATGGTCTCAAAACTCACATAACCACGTGCAAGACGAAATTTTCCAGTGCCACCGACCACGGCCACTTCTCTCACTCTATCAAACTGAGCACTACTTCCTTGTATTTCAAGAGTACTACCTTTGTACTCCTCATTAGTGAAGACAATTGATATTAGGACATGTGTATTAGATCCATCTAAAGCCGAAGTCACATACATACCTTGCGCTCGTCCAACTTGGGTCGAGTTTCCATCAAAACCTTTCGTTATTGGATCATCGGTGACGAAGATGGCTCCAAATTTGGTAAAGTTAAGATGCTCATTGGGATGTTGTTGCATCGTGATCTGTATTATAGTTGCATTAGATCCACCCGACCAATCTTGAAAATATATTGACATTTTTGTTTCTTTAAGTTGACCAAGTTCTACTTGTGAAGTACACGTGATTATAGCTAGAAACATAAGGAAGGATAGTTTGATTGAATTTGATGCCATTGTTGATGGATTAAGAACCAAAAAGGAAGAAAATGGTGTCTTAAGCCTGGTTTTGATGTATTTACATTTCTTTGTCAAATTGTTAGATATATAGTGTGGGGTTGGGTTAAAAGTCAAGTACGAGAATCATGTTGTCGGAAAGCACTAATTAAAAAACTTTGAATGGATGTGATGTTTGGACCGTTTGCTAATTTAAAAATGAAGGTAAATTTGTTTTCATAGGAATGCAACCTTTGTTTATCCCACCTTTTGTCCCATAGCTCAAATATTTAGGTTTATATTGCACTTACCATCCCCAACTCTTGCCTCGTGTAACAACTTTGTCCCCATTCTTTTTTCCTTTGTTGCACTTTTCAATTAAAAAAAAAAAAACACCAATGGTACCGTCAAATTTTAAGAACTCATCTCTCTAAAAAAAAAAAGTCAAAATTCAAAAGCAAGGGCTGTTTATTTTATTAATTATACGTTGACATTATTACCCCTTTGTAGTTTTATTTTTTATGTAGGTGAAAGTTCAAACAAATACGGACATGATCAAAGTTTTCAACCTTGAGGATTGAAGAACAATTCTCAAGTTCGTTAATTTATTGAAATTCAATAAGAGAAAAGATTGTTGTGCTTGTTTGAAAAAAAAAATTGTTCGTTGAAAGCTCGTCAAACATCATTTTTAACAATAACTATTCTATTTGTATAGATGATTTTATACAGATAGATTGACGAATGTATATCAGAATTTTTTTAATAATACATTTATATGAATTCGCAACTTAAATAGAGTTCCATTTAATAATACATAGGAATTTTAATTGACCTGAGTTGATGGTGAATCTCGTTTATTTTAGTTTACTGATTATACAAGATAGAGAAAAGTGAAGTAATAAGCGTTAATCTATGACATTTCACACGGTATCCTCGAAAAAAAAATAGTCAAACGAAAATGAATGGGAGGAAGGGTGAGATCAAACACACTCGACGTTTTGGTGACAAATGTCTGTTGATGAGTTGAGATCCGTTGTCCATTTTTACTGTTCAATTTGTTGGTTATTCAATTGCAAATTGATACATCAAGAAAAACTAAAGTTGTTATCAAATTATTCATGATATGCCAATTTGTAATTGGGTGACCAACAAATTAAATATCATAAATGGACATCAGATCTCAATTATCTATCTTAATCATTCTTGTAGTTTACAAAATAGCGTTATGCATTTAATTGACTGATACCTAGTGCATGTTTAGCTTAACTTGAGATAATTATGTATAAGTTTGTTTTAAAATAACTTTTATTTTACTGTCAAGGCAATAATTTTTATTTTACTTAAAATAAAAATATTTCATAACATTTTTTCACCATAATGTTGAGAATATAAAACATAATTTTATCCCCACCGAGACCAATCAATCCGAAGAAAAAAAAATGAACACTCAAGAACATGGTTTGCTTCACTATGAGATGACATAGTAACTTGTCAATAACCATCTTAAATTTCCAGAGTAACTTATCAAACATGTAATGTGAAGACTTGAGTTCAGACATATGCTAGATTTATTTTATTTTATTTTTTAATTTTTTTTAATGAATTGCTATCAAGGTTTTTTATTGTCTTAAGATAAAAATAAAATAACGTCTACATCAAGATATGACATATAATTTTGAAAAAAATTTCGTTGAGTTACTTCATTTAACAGGGTTTATAAATCTAGACGGAGCTCTTGACAACTTGATTCACAATTGCATTTAGATTCTCTAAGTGTTTAGAGTGCATGAGTAGTCAATGTTGATAACTTTGTTAGGTAGTCATCAATCGTGTAATTGAATTAATACTTAAAATCACAAGGGCTTTTCAAGCTTCTTCAATTTCCATTAATATTGGTCACTTTTTAAAACCTTGATTTAAAAGTCAAGAACCAATGCATTCATATGGTTTAAATCTTAAGATACCAAAAAATGATTCTTTACTTGCATCTAGAAGGTAGGTTATAATGGATTAGAACTAATTATTAATTAATAATGGAATTTCCCTAAGCTTAATATTAAGAACATTTGCCAAACTATTGAGGGTGTATGTATTCTAATTTGATCACCAAAAAGTGACATACCCAGAAATCAAATTCTTCAGGCACATTATTTTGAAATGGTTGATTGATGGAGAATGCGTGGTTGAAAAAAAAAGAAAAGTTATTGATGTGATGAAAAATATTATTTTATTGAAAAATATGTGATTGAAAATGAATAAAAGAATGAAAATAAAAATTTTAACGTGGCTCAAACAGGACTCAACTTACTAGTTAGTTCAACCCAACAGACCCAACCATGACTTCCGAGTTTAATCTTCAAAGTCTATCCAATCCAATATCCAAATTAAATCTGCTAACACACTTTTGTACCAAATATTTAATGCCACATGACGAAAGTCCCTTTTGCAAAGTAATTGCAGCTCACCTGACTCCAGCTCTCTAATTTAATTCCTCTATATAGTTTTGGCCACGTTATTTAATTCCCGTTAAAGGAATCGTTAACTCGATCGAGGGAGAGAGGACACCTAATAACCACTGCCCAACTAATTTGGACATACCTTTCAATTTAAGATGACATCCTATATATAGGCCCCAATCCAAATACAGCACACCTCATCTAAAGCTTTCTTCTTCCATTCAATTTTACTTCTCTCAGAAATGGAGTGGACCAGAGGGCGCACCATAGGCCACGGCGCAACTGCTACCGTGTCGATAGCCACTTCTGGGTTGGGTGACGTATTTGCTGTCAAATCGGCATATTTATCGAAATCCGAGTTCTTACAAAGGGAGCAAAAGATATTGTCCACTTTGAATAGTCCTTTCATAGTTGAGTACATAGGGTATGGCATTACTCGACACAACAATACAATCATGTTCGATTTGATGATGGAATATGTTCGTTATGGTACGCTTGTGGACGTCATTCACAAGTGTGGCGGCTGGCTTGATGAATTCTTGATCAGTCACTACACACGCCAAATTGTTCAAGGATTGGAATATCTCCATTCAACTGGTATAGTGCATTGTGATATCAAGGGGAGAAACATTTTGATAGGAGAAGATGGTGTCAAAATTTCAGATTTTGGTTGTGCCAAGAGGATAAAAAATCCAGTGGAAGGTATAAAGGATGATGGAGAAGCATCAATAGGAGGCACACCGGCGTTCATGGCACCAGAAGTTGCAAGAGGGGTGGAGCAGGGATTTCCAGCTGATATTTGGGCATTAGGATGCACAATTATTGAAATGGCCACAGGCGGTTTGCCTTGGCCTAATCTTAGCCATCCATCATCACTACTTTACCGAATTGCGTTGTCGGAAGAGTTACCGGAGTTTCCAGCCTTCCTTTCGGACAAAGCAAAAGATTTCTTGAGTAAGTGCTTAAGAAGGGATCCAAAAGAGCGATGGACGGCTAAACAACTTGTTAAACATCCATTTCTTGAGGAATTATCCAATATGAAGAAAGTAACAAATGATACAGCCGGCTCGCCAACAAGTATTCTTGATCAAGGCATTTGGAGCTTCATAGATGAATCAGAAACCTCATACAATCAGAGTCCAACAGATAGTACCTTAAATTCTCCAAGCCAAAGGTTGAAGCAGTTGTCGATGAGTTCAGGATTAATGGTTAACTGGAATTGGGAATACAGTTGGGTAACAGTTAGAGACAGTGAAGATAACATTATTAGGCCAGTTCAATGACAGATAATGATAAATAATAGTTGTCAGATAGTAAGGTAGTAATTTTCTGAATAGAGCACACTATTGTACAGATTTCAATCTCAATTTTGATTTGAGACACAGAGAAGTTGGTATATTTTGTCAACTAAGTACTTCGGCGACATCAGATGATTTAATATGACCACATGATAAGTTATTATTTTTGTTAGAATTTGGGTGTGACCCGAATTTTTTATTGAAGCAGTTGAATAATTCTAATTGAAGTGCACCTCAAAATTCAGTTTGGAATGCTATTGGAGTTCTATGTAAAGTTGAAATTCTATTTTGGCAGTTCATTGTGAGTCAAAAATTGGTATTGGATTTGAAGAAGAGTTCGAGATAAAGAAAACAACTTGAATGAAAAAAAGTAAAGAAATTTTGGTAGGACGCCGGGCGCCGACGCCTTTGTTTGAGATGTTGCCCCGATTTGATACACTATAAATATATGGCTCTTCTATGCAATTTTGTAGTGTGAGAAAAATAATTACTAGCTTTCTAGGATTGTAATATTTCTCCATATTCATTATTTGTAGTGCAATACAATGTCTTAATTCATCTACCATATTTTCTTGTTTTCTTTTATTCTTTTGTTTGTAATCAAATACTTTATTATTGTGTCATATAATCTCAACATTTCAATCCAGTGATTGGTTTCATATCAAATGGTATCGAGCAATATGTGATTCTTGAATTTCCAACAATTGGTATCAGAAATTTTGGGGATAATTAACACAATAATTTAAAAAAATTATTGGATAATCATTGGAGAAATATTTTGATATGAAATAGTGCTACAGCTTGGAATTGGCTAAAAACGTAATCAACCTGGAGAATACTTGTAGAGTCATGATTATTAAGTCAAGTACCGTGCAGTGTCGTTTATGTCCTGGTTAGCATAAAATCAATTTTTTGTTAATCCACAGGTTTGAAAGCTGAGAATTGGGTTTTCTCGAGCCTTAATCATCGATCAATTTCTTTTCTCTTTCTTTCTTGGCTTGTGTATTCAAGAATTACAGTGGTTGAGAGCAGTTTGTGAGGTAATAATGATCATTGTTTAGGATTTACCGAACCATGTTAAATGTTGGCAAAAGTGGGTGTGCTGAATTTGTCATGCTTTACTCACTGTAGTGGGAAAACTTGTATGGAAACATACGGGTTGATGAGGCTTTGTCGAACGCTATCTTAGTGCCTCATGTACGAGGGACGCGTTGACGGTTTTGGTTGAAGGCTTACAATGTTCAGATTTGGCCTATGAAAATCCGGCCCTTTTTATCATCACAGCCCTGAGTTTATTTGTTATCAAATACCTAATAAGGGTTTGGCATGATGGTCCATATATTGAATATATAGTTGACTATTAAAGCTTTCTGCATTGGCCATTGAGGAAAAGAAAAAAAGCTGTAGGACAAAGTATGCAAATGAAACTAAAGATTGGAGATTGAAAAGTTCATTTTTCAAGGATGGGGATGAATTTGCTATAGGTGCCGAAGTTAGGGAATAAGCAAATTTTCCAAAGATAAAAAGGAAATATGCGACTGCCGAAAGTCGAATGTGGAGAGCCACAAAGTTGATACGTTACCACAACACAATAGTAACTTTCCTAGCAATGGACGAGTTCTAGAAAAAAAAAACAGAGAAAAAGATTCATATACTCGATTGTATACCAAATTTCTCTGTATATCTCAAATCAAAATTAAGATTGAAATCTGTACAACAGCGTGTTCTCTATGTAGAAATTACTAACCCTACTATCTGACAACTATTATTTATCATTATCTGTCATTGAACTGGCCTAATATTGTTATCTTCATTGTCTCTAACTGTTACCCAACTGTCTTCCCAGACCCAGTTAATCATTAGTCCTGAACTCATCGACAACTGCTTCAACCTTTGGTTTGGAGAATTTAAGTTGCCATCTGTTTGACTCAGGTTGTACGAAGTTTCTGATTCATCGATGAAGCCCCAAATGCCTTGATCAAGAATACTTGTTGGTGAGCCGGCTGTATGGTTTGTTAATTTCCTCACATTGGATAATTCCTCAAGAAATGGATGTTTAACAAGTTGTTTAGCCGTCCATCGCTCTATTGGATCCCTTCGTAAGCACTTACTCAAGAAATCTTTTGCTTTGTCCGTAAGGAAGGCTGGAAACTCCGGCAACTCTTCCGACAAGGCAATTCGATAAAGTAGTGATGATGGATGGATATGATTAGGCCAAGGCGAACCGCCTGTTGCCATTTCAATAATCGTGCATCCTAATGCCCAAATATCAGCTGGAAATCCCTGCTCCTCCCCTCTTGCAACTTCTGGTGCCATGAACGCCGGTGTCCCTCCTATCGATGCTTCTCGATCATCCCTTACACCTTCCACTGGATTTTTAATCCTCTTGGCACAACCAAAATCTGAAATTTTGGGACCATCTTCTCCTATCAGAATGTTTCTCCCCTTGATATCACAATGCACTATACCAGTTGAATGGAGATATTCCAATCCTCGAACAATTTGGCGTGTGTAGTGGCTGATCATGGATTCATCAAGCCAGCCACCGCACTTGTGAATGACATCCACAAGCGTACCATAACGAACATATTCCATCATCAAATCGAACATAACTGTATTGTTGCGTCTAGTAACATCGTACCCTATGTATTCAACTACAAAAGGACTATTCAAAGTGGACAAAATCTTTTGCTCCCTCTGCAAGAACTCAGATTTCGATATGATTGCCGATTTGACAGCAAATACATTACCTGACCCGGAAGTGGCTATTGACACGGTGGCGGTTGCGCCGCGGCCTATGGTGTGCCCTCTGGTCCACTCCATTTTTGAGAGAAGTAAAATCGAATGGAGGAAGAAAGCTTAGATGGTGAGTGCTGTATTTTGTTTGGGGCCTATATATATAGGGTGTCATTTTAAATTGAAATGTGTGTCCAAATTAGTTGGCAGTGGTCACCAGGTGCCCATCTCTCCCTAGAATTGACTATTCCTTTAACAACGTGGCAAAATGCATGTGGGGAGGAATCAGACAAGTGGAGTGCAATTACTTGGCAAAAGGGTCTTTTGTCATGTGGCAATATTTTATGCGGAAGAGGGTAATACTTCGCATATTTGGTAATGGTAGATAGATTGGATTTGATAATGGAGAAGAGTGATTCTATGCATAGCGAAGATTATCGACAATCGTCTTACATGATATATATGTGATAGTTTATGATTTGATATATTAATATTATAGTTTTTTTATTAACTTACGCATCAAATCACAAATCGTCATATACAGCATATATATGACAATTATCGATAGTTTTTACTATGAATAACAGAAATTGGATTTTTGTGTTCCTCTTTTTGGTCGAAACTTAAAATTTGGCATAAGAATTATTTAAGTATTTGTGTGGATATGGTACTTTGTTTCAAGTGTTCATAATATTAGGAAAATTAGGTCAAGTCTGTTGAATGGAAATTGCATAATAATAATAATAATTAATTAGTAACCAATCCATGATAACATATCTTCTAGATGAAAGTAAAGAATCATTTTTGGAATCTTAAGATTTAAACCATTGTTTGTTGCAGTGGTTCTTAACTTGTAAATCAAGGCTTTAAAAAGTTGCCAAATTTAAATGGAAATTAAAAGATGCTTAAAAAAGAGCTTATGATTTCCAATAATTCAATTACATGATAGATGACTACTTAACAAAGCCATCGCAGTTGACTACTCGTGCACTCTACTTATAAGTATCACTTTCTTCCACTTTAATGGAATTGTGCAGAGGCATTTTACCAAAAATGGTCTCATTCGAGAACACGAATATTGGAATTCGATTGTACTTTTGAGCTTATAGACAAATCAAATCGATTACTTAAACTCGCCGGCTCTAATATTGTATTAAATATTATTTTATTGGATTGAAAAAAAAATTATTATAAGAATCAAGAAGAATAAGGTGGTTTGATATTTGGAGTTGGAGTTGGTTTGAAGTACAAGTTAAAGAGATTCAAGAAGTTGTAACTAATTATACCAAATTGATGACAAACCACTTTCCCAACACACTAAACAACAATACTTGGAATTTAATTAGTGGTAAATGGATCCCTTCCCTTTCAAATCAGATCTGTTAGTTGGCCGAATTTGAAGCATCTATTCTTACATTACATCACATTTATTAATCTTTATTTACTAATAATTTATCTAACTTAAATATCAACTTTACACCTACAACATTGAGAGGTTGCTCAATTGGTCAGGTCTTGGGTTTGCTCCCCAATGATCATCAGTTCGAGTCCACTGAGGTGAGTACCCGACCATAAACTTTAGGGCCTCGTGAAATTAGTCGAAGTGCGCGCATGCTGATCTGAATATCTATGATTAAAAAAAAAAAACTTTACTTGTACGCTCGATGAGTGGTACAAAGATGAGTGAGGAAAGTGGGGCCAGAAATAAATAATAAAGGTGCCTAGTTTGAGTGTGATTGTCTACCTAAATACAATATTTAACATATTTTACGTCTTTCTATTTTACTCAACAATTACTTTACTATCTCTTTATCAAAAGAAAAAAAAAAAAAAACAATTACTTTACTATCGACAGCCTACAATATTAGCCAATAGTCAAACTTCTTAATTAATTTACATTTATTTTTTATTAATAACATTAGTTCAATTTATTACATTTAAGCATATTAATTCATTGAAAGGAAACGACCTGAAATTGAGAATTTCATTATGCTCTATGTTACTAATTCTCAACTTGTTAACTTGTATTTTAAGGCTTTTGGGTTGTCGAGAATCTAAACTAATTTATGTGTATTATTGGATTTTTGTTACATTGTTTATTTTTTTTGCCTGGTTTGTGGATTTTATAGAATCTAGAATAATTTTTGCTCGATTTTATTGAACCCCTTTTCAGGTTATGCCGCAAACAAGTAATAATTAAAGAATCATTTGATCTTTGATTGTTATTATTATTATTTTTCTTTTGAATG